TTACCACAGGAGTAGCAGGTTACATGTTTGTGCCACTGAACCTGAGTTTACATGGGCTCTGGAGAATCAAATGCTGGTCCTCATGTTTACGTAGCAAAGCCACACTGAGCCACCACACAGACTTCTGACACTGAGCTCCTGAAGTGTTGGGATTACAAATAAGCTCTACGTATACACCAGCTCTAGTGTGTGTGTGTGTGTGTGTGTGTGTGTGTGTGTGTGTGTGTGTGTGATTTCAAGACAGGGTTTTTCTCTGTTTAGCCCTGGCTGTCTTATAACTCTCTTTGTAGACCAGGCTGACCTCGAACTCACAGAGATCTACCTGCATCTGTCTCCACCACCACCCAGTTCCAGCTCTACCTTCTTAATATGGCTCAAGCCAAAGTCTCTGCTAGCCTCTGGGGGAACCTTGATAGAAATTGGGCAGGACAAACTTCAGGTGTAAGCAGCTTCCAGGTAATGTGGCTAATAAATAATTATGGTCTTCCAGCTTCCATTGCAGGGGTGAGGGGTGGACACAGGTAGTATTTCACTTCCCAGCCCACCCGCTCCTGTGTGCAGTGCTGACTGCACTATTGTGAACTCTGACCCTACTCAAGCCTCTCCCCGTCTCCTCACTGGCACTGCTGCATTGATGGCTAAAGTTGGTTGCTGCTGCTGCCTGCTCTAAGGGCCAGTCTGTTGCTCTATAATTTGCCTCTCTGGTATCCTCAGGGCTACCCCATGGGAGTTCGGTCTTCCAGGCCCTCCAGGAAAGACTGGACATTCAAGATGGCCCCTAAGGCTTAGTAATTAGTTTCTGATTCTTCCTCTTGCCTGTCCTTCCCCCCCAACAAGCCTGGTCTTGAGAAGACCCTGTTGTTGTCTCTCTCCTCCTGGCAATACCTCCTGTTCTGTTCAGGCTTTGTTCAAGCCATGCTGCCCCTTGGATGCCTTCCCATGCCGGCAGCTGTTCTTGAATATATGACCCATATCGAAACCAACTCCGGTCCGGTATCCCATTGGCACCAGAGGCTGAGAAGCCACATGCCTTCAGGGCTCATGTAATGTTTAAATTTTTTTATGATTAGAAGGAAACACAAATGAGTTTTAAAGGGTTAAAGAGGGTCAGTGGTGGCCCAGACCTTTAATCCCAGCACTCGGGAGGCAGAGGCAGGCAGATCTCTGTGAGTTCCAGGACAGCCTGGTCTACAGAGTGAGTTCCAGGACAGCCAGGGCTACACAGAGAAACTGTTGTCTCAAATAACAAAACAAAGCCAGGCGTTGGTAGCTTAAGCCTTTAATCCCCGCACTCGGGAGGCAGAGGCAGGCGGATCTCTGTGACAGGGTTTTTCTGTATTGTTTTGGAGGCTATCGGTCCAGCCCAGCCTCGAACTCACAGAGATCCACCTGCCTCTGCCTCCCGAGTGCTGGGATTAAAGGCGTGCACCACCACCGCCCGGCCTGCCTCTGTCTCTTGAGTGCTGGGGTTGAAGGCATCACTACACCTGACTGACATTTCAACAGAGGAAGGTGCTCAGAGAGGCGGGAGTACTTAGGTCCCATGAAAGTCACCTCATGGCCCCGATCATCATTCTTGGTTCCTCCTTCCCACAGTTACCTGAGAGTGCTTAGGATAGAAGCAGACACTTCTGTGTTCTCATTTGGTTTTGTGGTACTGAGTATCAAACCTGGGGACCTCGAGTATATCCTAGGTTAAGGTCTGTCTCTGAGTTGCTTCTTTGGCATTATTATGTTTTAAACCACACACACACACACACTCACACACACGTATTTTTATCCTTATGTATATGGTGTACACGTGCATGTGAATGATACCTTTTTTTTTATCCTTTTGAAACAGGGTCTCTTACATCTCTTACTGGCTTGGAACTAACTAAAGCCATGCTGGCTGGCCAGGGAACTCTAGGAAGCTACCTATTTCAATACCATCATGCCCAGATGTTTTTATATGGGTCTGGAGGGCATCAAATGCAGGTCCTCATACTTGGAAAGAAAGCATTTTGCCCATTGAGCTATCACCCCTGCCCATGTTTTTAATCCTTTGCTGCTAGCTCAGGGCTTGGATTTGTGTGTGTTTGAGTAAGCATCTCATATAGGCCAAGCTGACTTTGAACTTACTGTAGCTAAGGCTGGCCTTGAACTCCTGATCTTCCTGTATCCCTTTCCTAAATGCTGGGATTTCAGGTTTATATTACCATGCCTCTGTTCTCATTCTCTCTCTCTCTCTCTCTCAGCAGGATTTTGTCAATTCAAGACTTGTGGCAATTCTCCTGCCTCAGCCCTTGGAGTGCTAGGATTAGAGGGTCCACCATCATGCCTGATTTCAGGTAATGCTTTCTGACTAGGTAGTTAAGCAAAGGAATTAACAAACGATCTTGGGCTAGTGTGTCGTTGTTGTCTCCCCCAGCCCCCACTCCCCTAAGGTCTCATCCTTGGCTGTTCTGGAGCTTAGTATGTAGACCTGCCTGACCTCAAACTTACAAAATTCACTTGCCTTTGCCTCCTGAGTGCTGGGATTACAGTGTGTGCCATCATTCCTTGCTTGGACAGGTGCCTGCTCTTAGTAGTCTCAGTTTTTTCATCTTAACAGCCAGCTCCAGGTTCATGGATTAGCTATGGATGGAAAAATTCACAAACTATAGAGCCTTTGGGGCCCTTCCTGAGACTAAGCAGAGTGAAGCGTGTGGGTGAGGACAGGTAACTTAAAAATGGATCCAGATGACTGTGATATCTTTCTTTTGGTAACAAAATTGCCTGTTGTAAATAATACCATAAAGGATAGATTCCAAAATGTTTTACACTGGCTGGCCCTGCACCAGGGGACCCTGTAGCTAGAGACCAAACTAAATAAAGTGTAAGGCCTTAGAAAAACAGATTTCTTTCATTTAGGTTACTAGGTTGGAGTGTTTTATTCCCTTAGAAAGAGTTCTGGAGATAGACCTAGAACTAATATCTAATCATCTTGTCTCAGTCTCCAAGAGTGCTGGAATCACAGGTGTGTGCCACCATACCCAGACTTTTCTTCCTTCCTTCCTGTGTTATTATTATTAAGGTACAGTCTAAGTAGCTCCGGCTGGCCTGGAAGTTGCCATGTAGATCAGACAGGCCACGAATTCAGAGATCTGCCTGTGCCTGCCTCCAAGTACAAGGATTAAAGGAGTTCGAATGAACTCTGGCCTCTCTTTCCTTTGTAAGCTTTTCGGAGGTGCATGTGAAGACCAATTCCCTGTCATTTTCTTTGTGTTCCTGAGCTTGGCAACCTTCCACATCATGGTGCACCCTTCATCCCATAAGCATACGGCCCTGCTCAGCCCAACGGTGAAATGAGGGCAGTCAGCCATGGGAGAGCAGAGTTGTGGGGCAGGGACTTAAATTTCCCCAAAGTGAAGTCTCTCCCAAGTCATTCTGGAGACTGAAAATGACACGGGGATTGGGGGGGCTCCGCAAGCGAAAACACCCTTGTGGCACTTCAGAAATTTTAGTTCCTTTCTTCTTCGCATATACACTTCGGGGAATGGTTTCCTGTGTGCCCGGTGATTTAATACTTTCCTTACTCCCCAGGGGCTGTAAGTGTTTCTTTTTTATTGGTTGAGGATGTGTAAGCTACCGGCAGTAGTGGCAATCTCTGCTGCACGTCCAGAGAACCAGTGCTTTGTAGCACACAGTAGGTGTTGAGTCTGAGAACGACTCCGTGAAATGTGACTTCTTTGATTGACTGTAGTATGCTTCCCCGGCAGGCAGGGAATAAAACCTACCTCTAGATAATAAAACCCACATGGTGTCCTGCACCCCATAATTAGGATCCCCAGGCTTTTGCTTTGTTGTGGGAGACCAACCAAAGGCCAAGGGAGCACCTGCTTTTTCAGTTGTCCCGGCAGGACCTCAGGCTGCCTCGCAACGCAACCCCTCGAGGTTTCTTCTCCAGGCTTTTCGGAAGCCGGTGACCTGGATGTGTCCCGGGGCCGTAGGCAGAATTCACCCCAGGGGTTCCCAGCCCAGGGACGTGCGCCTCCAAGTGCCCAACACTTTCTTTGCCCCTTGGAACTGAGCAGGAGCCCCAGGGCTGAGCAGACTGCCTCCCCTGGCACCTATAGGCCTGCGGGGGCAGGGGCCTGAATCACTGCCGCAGTCGCCCTCTTTTTCCGGCTTCCAGCTCGGGGCCACCTCCGTTTCGTAACGCCGGCTGGCCAGGCGCAGCGCGCTCGCTCGCTCTCCTCCAGTGCTCTGCGCGCCCCTCTCCAAGGCTTGCACTTTCGCGGCCGCCGCCCTCACCCGAGCCAGCTCGGTGGAAGCCTCGCCCCGCCGCCCCTCCCCGGTAGAAGCCAGAGCTGCCAGCGCTAGCCCCAGGCTCCCGCGGGAGGGGGCGCGGCGGCCCCCACGGCTCCACCCTCTCCGCGGGGCCGCGGCCATCTGGGGCCCCTGCCAGGCGCGTCCGCTCGGGGCCCGATCCCAGCTCGCGCGGGAGGACAAGGAGACACCCGGGGAAAGGATCCCGGCCCGCGCACCGGGTGGTCCCCAGCTGGCCGGCGGCGGAGAGCTGCTAGCAGAGATGCCCCGAGGGGGCGGTGGCTGAGGCGCCTCATAGCGGACTGGACGCGGGCGCCCCTGGTCACCTCGGCGACTCTTTACAAGCCTGAGCTGCAGCTGCGGACGCGGCGGGGCGGGCCGGTGAGGGCGCTGAGGTCCGTGCTCCCCGCGTCCGTAACTGGCGCCCACTGCGGACTCGTCGCCTCCCGCCTTCCCCGCGCCAGCCCCCCGCGAGCTGGCAGGAGGAAATTGCGCGCGGCCCCTTTAAATTTACCCAGGAGCCCTTAAAGGAGCCCCAGGGGCCCCAGACAGGAATCCCCACCCCGGTCCAGCCCGCGCCGCCGAGCGAGCAGCCAGCCGTCCGTGCGGCCGGCCGCCCGTGAATGCGCCCCGCGTCCGGGGGCCCCGCGCACCGAGCGCCCTGCGCGCGCCGCCGCCGGCTCCGCGGCCCCGCGCCCCGCCGCCCCGGGGCCCCCGCTCCTCAGCACAGCGCATGGAGCCCGGCGGGGACCACCGGAGCCGGAGCGGCGGCGGCAGGGGCGGCCCCGGGCCCGCAGTGTCTTCGGCACGGGGCCGACGGCTGCCGCCCGCTGCAGCGAGCGGCGGCGCGGAGCCCGAGGAGGACGACGGCGGTAAGAGCTGGGCCCGACGGCCCGGGGCGGGGGCCCCGGCGTGGGGGAGGGGAGGGCTGCGGCTCCGGGCCCCTCTCGGCCGCCGAACAAAGCGGGGGACGAGCGCAGGACGTCCAGGGGCGCCACCTGGCGGGCACAGGGCGCAGCTGCGAGGCCCACGGGGCGCCCCCCGCCCGTGCCGGGGTCTGCCCGCCGGACTGGGGCGGATCCCTGCTCCTTAAAGGGCCCCGCGGCGCTCGCTTTTGGGGGACCAGCGACACCGGCCAGCGAGACACTGGAACTCGCGGCTCCCGCCCCTTCTTTTTCAGACTCCCAAGTGGTCTTTTCAAAGGCCACACAGCCCCCACCACTCTCCCCTCCTAGGGCTTTCCCCAGAGTAGTATAGCTCGGGATTCCGCTGTCTTCGGGTGCGCTGTCCCTCTCCTGCGTGGCCTTGCTGGAGACGGGAACTCTTCCCTTCACGGTTGCGCTAAGGGAAAAAAAAGCACAGCCTACGCCCTGGGGCCCCCTCTGCTATCCTCCACATCGGGAAGGTCTTAAGTAAGGGATGGATTCGCCCACGAAGGTGGATGCCCCCTCCTGCCTGTGCACTGTCGCGTTTCACAATTTATTTTGGCCCCAGTTTGTCTGCTGTATCAGGACCAGCCGGTCCTCGTTGTCCCTCAAAGCCAACTGTTTGTTTGTCTCCCTGATGAAGGGTTTATTGCCTTTATCAGCGGAAGGTTCCCTGCTGACTGGGGATGCTGTGCCCTACTCTCTGAGCTTTCCTCTGCAAAAGTCCCCCATCCCCTTTTGTTTTTAAAGAATCTCAGCTCCTCCTTTTTCTTTTCTATTTTTTTTTTCTGCTCTTAAAGGGCCAGTCTGCCTTAGACTTACAAGAATCCCGCACTGGAAGGATGCTTAGTAGGGTACTAGCTGTCCAGCCAGTCAAGTGCATTTTCAGACAAAGGCGCTTAGGCCCAGAGAGCGGCCATGACCTACCAAAGGTCACCGAGCAAGTCACCAGTGAAGCCAGGTCTTGAACCTAGTGGTTTGTTTGTTTGTTTCTATAGCTCTACTTAAAAAAAAAAAAGGAAAGGAAAAAGAAGATAATGAAAACAAAAGAAAACTCCACACAGGGACAGGAGCTTTCTCTGATCCTGTCTTTTGTTTGTCTGACTCTGGGATTCTGTACTGAGAGAATGACCAGAACCTGCCTGTCTAGTCTTTGTGACCAGGAGACCATTTTCTAAATAAAAAATGGTCAGCCAGCCCTGCAGGGAGGGTAAGGTAGGGCTCTGGGTGTCTTCTTGACAAAGTATAGGAACACTAATAGTGTGTGCCCACCTTTCTGATGGCTGGGTAGTAGTCAAGTCCCTGTAGCCAGCCCCAATGAGGTGAATGCCTAGAAAGCTGTAGTGGTTTGATGGGTGGTGACTGTGCCCTAGTCTGCAGGATGTGTGTTCAGTAGTCACTCTGGTGGCCCTCCTACCTTCCCTTTCCAGGGCTCCCCCAAACACACACACACACACACACACACACACACACACACACACACACACACACACACACACACGGGAAGTCAGAGTCTGAGAAACTCCTTCCCTGGAGGTATTGACACCTTTGTCTTAGGTGTCCCTCCAGTGGGAAAGCTGACATACACCCCATCCCTACACTGGTATTTACAGCAGGGCAGTTTGGAGTATTACTGGAAAAGGGATCTTTGGGTGGGCCCTGCTGGTAGGGCCTCAGGTGGGTGAATCTTGTCCACATATCTGGGTGCAGACAGATACCCCCTTTGTTCCCCTCTGCCTACTGCTTTCTCCGTTCTGACTCTAACTGCCCAGCCTGCTGATGTAGCTGTACCCCGTCTACACCTCTGGACTGGCAGCCTCCCTGACCCTCTGCTCAAGCCCACCCAGTCCTCATCCTTTTGTTCTTCGTCCTCTCTCTCGCGGGGCCCCTGCTCTGCATAAGGGGTGTTTTGACTCCTTATTACCCACGTCCCTTTCATTGCTCTCGCCACCCCTTCCTTGCCCTGAGCTCCCCTCCCCCACCTCCCTTTCTCATGCTTCCAGATCAAAGCCTTGGGTCCTTTCCCTGGAAATTGGAGATTGAGAACATGTCTCCCTTTTCCCTTCTTCAGGACAAGCTCTTCAGCTGGAAGGGGGTGCCTTGGGGTCCTGGGGGAGTACCCCCCTACCCTCCTCCAGGGCCAGGGGACCAGCATCTTCAGGCAGGAAATACTCAGATCATTGTGAGGCTCGGGCCTCGAGGCCTGGGAAGAGCCGCATCCCTGGCAGGGACCATCGGCGCTACTACCACGACCACTGGCGATTGGAGTACCTGATGGATTTCATCCCCTCTCGCCATGGCATGGTGTGTATGGTGTGTGGCAGCTCCCTGGCCACCCTCAAGCTCAGCACCATCAAGAGGCACATCCGCCAGAAGCACCCCTACTCCCTCCATTGGAGCCCCCGAGAGAAGGAGGTCATCAGCAACAGCTGGGATGCCCATCTGGGGCTGGGCGCCTGTGGTGAGGCTGAGAGCCTGGGGGCCCAGGGGGCTGAGGAGGAGGAGGACGAAGATGAAGAGGAGGAGGAGGGGGCCGGCCTTCGAGCTTGCCCACCCAAGGGCACAGGTAATACAGAATATGGAGAGGCAGGGGACCGTGTATCATGGGCCTGGGCGAGGTGGTGCTGGGCAGCTTTTCTGCTATTTTAGTTTTTGAAGGAGTCTCTGCCCCTTCTTTGGGTAGATTCTGTCACTGCCCTTACTTTTGAGTGTGGGGAGGCATAGTGGTGTAGGAGCGGTTTCCAGCGTCCCTGACAGCCTTGATGCTGTGTAGTGGAAGGAGCAAGGAGAGTGGTAGCTGTGGGAGGGTAAGTTGAGGAAAGGGCTGTGAGTTGGTGGGGGAAGTGGTGTTGGAACAGTCGAGGGAAGGGGCTGAAGTCTGGGCTTAGGGAGGCTGGGTGGAGCTTTGGGTGAACTGGAGGGTTAGGGAGAGTGGGTGTGGTGGCTCGTGCCTGTAATTTTAGTGCCAGGAAAGTGGAGGCAGGAGCATCAGTAGTTGAGATGAGTTGGCTACATAGGGAATTTGAACCCAGTCTAGGCTGTATGAATTTCTGTCTAAAAAGCAAAAGGAAAAAAGATGTGAGGGGAGAGATAAAAACAGACGGAGGTCAGCCGTTGGACCCGAGTCAGAGATTTGAGTGAGAAAGAGGCTGTGTGTGGAGCATCTGACTGCGGTGAGGGACTCCCCAGTGGGCCAGAGTCTCAGTTGCTTCCCTCCAACCCTTTCAGGCAAAGCCCCAGCTGGTGGGGGCTGCCGGCGCCAGCGGCGAGGGGTTCGAGGGGGCCCAGTGGCACCTCGGCGCCGGCGCCTTGCGGCCTCCAGAAGGGCTGGGGGCAGCAGGGGGCTGGGGGCCCGGCGCCTGGAGCGGAGGCTGAAGGAGTCCCTGCAGAACTGGTTCCGGGCCGAGTGTCTCATGGACTACGACCCACGGGGGAATCGGCTGGTGTGCATGGCCTGTGGCCGGGCACTGCCCAGCCTACACTTGGACGACATCCGTGCTCACGTGCTGGAGATGCACCCCAGTTCCCTAGGGCTCAGCGGCCCCCAGCGCAGTGCCCTACTGCAGGCCTGGGGTGACCAGCCTGAGGCTCTATCCGAGCTCACCCAGTCCTCACCAGGTGCGAGGCTGTCCCAGGGCTGAGATCCCTTAAATATTAGGGCGGCAGTGTGGGAGCTGAAAACAAAATTGGGAGGCAGGGACATTTGGTTGAGGGCTGCAGGCTTATTTTCCCTCTACACGCAGACTCGCAACTCTCCACCCCTCTCTCTCTGGCTGGGGCCGGCTAGCTTGGGGCTGGGGTGAGGAGCAAGGATGGACCACCCTTGTGTGGGTAAGGGCAACTCGGCCAACAGGCTGAGCCCTTCTCCTTCACCCCTTCCCCAACAGACGATGACCTCGTCCCCCAGGACCTGACCAGAAAGAGCCGGGACTCCGCCCCCGCTGCTGGAGCCCCCTCCTCTCAGGATCTCAGCCCCCCCGACGTAAAGGAAGAGGCTGGCTGGGTCCCTGAGAGGCCCGGGTCGGCAGAGCAGGAGGAGGAGGGCGAGGGCGAGGGCGAGAGGGCGGGCAACCCGGTCCGGCCTCGGAGGGGCCGAGACCATCGTCGACACTACCAGGAGCGCTGGCGGTTGGAATACCTCATGGAGCTGGACGGCTGCCGGCGCGGCCTGGTGTGCATGGTGTGCGGGGGCGCGCTGGCCTCGCTCAAGATGAGCACCATCAAGCGACACATCCGCCAGCGCCACCCGGGCTCCACCAGCCTCAGCGGGCCAGTGAAGGCCCTCATCGCCCAGGAGTGGAGCGAGAAGGCCGCACACCTGCTGGCCCTGGGGCTGCCCAGCCCGGAGTCCCCCAGCGATCCTGTCGCCCCCGGCACAGCCTCAGCCTCTGAGGAGGGGGGAGGGGCCGAGGAGGCGGAGCCAGAGGAGGAGTGGTGGGGTGAGCCTGTGGAGGGCCAGAGCAGCGGGCAGGGACTGAGGGCTCGGAGGGAAGGGTGGTGAGAATGGAAGGGCGACGGGAGGATGGGACAGGACCAGTGGAGACGAGGGACTGGGCCTGATTCCTGCCACCCGCTCTAAGGCAGTCCTTTGTTCCTCCCCAGGCGACGGGCCGCCGTCCCCCGGGGCGCCATCGGAGCGGCCCGCCGAGGAAGAGGAAGAGGAAGATGACGGTCAGGAGCCCGGGGAGTTGGCTTTCTCTCCGCTGCCGCCGCCGCCGCCGCCACCTCCCCCTCCGCCGCCACCGCGCAGCCGGGAGCAGCGGCGCAACTACCAGCCGCGCTGGAGGGGCGAATACCTAATGGACTACGACGGCAGCCGCCGCGGCCTGGTGTGCATGGTGTGCGGGGGCGCGCTGGCCACGCTCAAGGTGAGCACCATCAAGCGACACATCCTGCAGGTGCACCCCTTCTCCATGGACTTCACCCCAGAGGAGCGCCAGACCATTCTGGAGGCCTACGAGGAGGCTGCACTGCGCTGCTACGGCCACGAGGGCTTTGGGGCACCGGCCCCGGCGCCGCGGGACGGCGGTGCGGAACTGAAGCCGGGCGCGGTTTGTCGCGCGTAGCACTCTCCCTGCGCTGGCATGGCTCTAGGGCTGAGAGACCCTGATGTCAGGCTCTGGAGCCCCCCGCTGGTCGGGCTGGGCCGGGATTGGGGTTGGAGAGGCGCTGCTGCTGTCCCTCGGTGACATTCTGATGTGCCGCTACTCCCTACGCTGCTGGTGCGCCCTGACCGGGGGGTCCCAACACTCTTCGCGCGGGACCCCATGTTTCTCTAAAAGCCAAAGCGCCTCTCCAGTGTTCGCAGCGAACGTTCCCAGCCGCGCCCAAGGGCGCAGTGCTGCCACACCAGGGTGGGGAGGTGCCGAAAATCAGTATTAGAATTGAAGGCAGGGCGCAGAGAAGTCAGGAAGGACATGCAGGCGGCTCGCCCTGGCCGGGGCCCCAGTTCTATGCGGCCTCGCACGCCCGCCGGTGCGGCTCTCGGCTCCTAGGTTGCTGGCTGTTGGGTCCAAATTGGTATTCTTGGCCTCTCAGAGGTCCAGACGGCGGACTGGAGCAAAGCAGGGGGCGGGACACGGGCGGAGCGTCGGAGCCCAGTCAGTTTCCCGGGCTGGCTCAAGGGACAGCGCATCCATACCTTTGGGACCGGAGTCATAAAGGGATTAGCACTTTTTTTTCTTAGGCTCTCCTGCTCAGAGAGCTTCTGTTATCTACCCAGTGAAAGCGGCGGACACACTCTAGGTCCAGTGCCAGCATGGTGCAAGCCCCGGGTACTGGGGCGGTTGGTCTGTTACTGCCCCCGCTGAACGTGATTTGTCCTCGGTGGATGCCACGCCGGTTCTCAGCGCCCAGGGCTTGAGGCCGGCCGCGACCTCCTTTGCTCTTACTCATGGTGCCAGAAGGGCCCCTCAATCTCCCAGGCAGGTCCGAGAGGGATGTGTAGATTTCGTTCTCCCGTGGAGAACAGGTGGTCCCGAGATCAGGCCCTTTTTTGCTCTTTGTATTTTATTTTGAAACTGTATTTAATGCTTTTTATATGAAAGGGAGAGGGGAACTGGCCCAATCACCCTTATGTGCAAATGTCTTATTTATTATGCGTGTATCAGAGATAAGCTGTGAGGTGGTGGAGGAAGGACAGAGATGGGAGTGTGGCCTGGGGATTGGAAGGATACTAAATATCCCATGTTCCCCTGGCCTTGTTTCTAGGTCCAGTGTCTGTCTTCACTAAGGGAAGCCACTGCAGACACTGGTGCCCTCCTTTTAAAGTCAGGGTGCAGTGGTCAGAGGGTGGGATTTGGGAGGGGCCCTGGTTCTGGGGCCAGTGCAGTCACAGTGGTGAGAAAACAAGAAAAAGAAATCCCTTCTCTCACTTGCCAGAGTCAGAGCTCAAGTGCCTCAGGCCCAGTTCCCTAGACTTCCTGGCCTAGTTGGATTTTATGCCACGGATTTTATAGCATTTTATAGCATTTATCACTGGGAAAGGACCCTGGAGATCACAAATTGATCCCTTTCAGAGAGAGGAGCAAAATTCCAGCCCCCAGAAATTTTTACTTAGCTAGGAACAGGTCAAGAACTAGAATTACAATCTCAACTCCCAGTTCAGTGAGCTTTGTAACTATGTTGCACTGCTTCCAGTCTGGCAAGTTACCAAGGTTTCTTTACCCATTGAGCTTGCCAAGGTGTAGTATGCTGGGCACTGCAGGTCCACAGCACTTGTGACTCCCGAGGGCAGCAAAACATTGCACTTCCTGGGAATGAGGATGAAGGCAGCTTTCAGCACTGCAGGCCTGTGAAGGGTTGTGAAGGGTGGGGCCTGCCTCGCCCTGGACGGAGGTTTCTGCAGCAGAAGGCCGCTCAGTGTTGGTGCTTGTTTTGAAGCCATCAGGTATTCTGGAACAGCTGCTGGCTCAGTTAAATTCCAATCTTGACCAACCAGGGTTTTGGAGACTATTAGAATCTTGAAAAGAGATTACAGATTTTGCCAAGCTGGGCACTGACCTTTTTTTACTTTTCGTCATGCATGTTTTTAAGCAGAGTGAGTATTCTCTCCCACCTCTACATCACTTTTTAGAAACAGTAGGCAAAAGTAGAGCTGCTGATTGTCATGGTCAGAGCTCACTGTGTAAGTCCAGCTTGATGGGGCAGAAGTTACAAATGGGTTTCCCCTTGAGAGGAAGCCCCCAGGCCAGTGTCATTTTAAGCACCCTTGGGCCCACCTGATGACAAAGTCAAAAGGGTGGGACCCACAATGCATTTGACAGGCCTTTCACCAACAGCTGCAGCTCCCAAGGAGGTTTTCTGGCTAGTACCTGTGCAGTGATCTACCAAGACTAGACCTGTGGCCCGAAGGGTCAGGGTTGGTGGGTCTCCTTCTCCCTCAGGATTCTGATTGAACAGGTGAAATTCCTTCATTGTTTTGTTAATGGTATGCTTGCTATTATGGCCTATATGTAAATGTAACTCTGGATACATATTTATATGCCATGTTAGTGACACTATTCAAACATTTGTATGTGTATTTGTGAAGTTTGCATCAGTCATTTAAGAAGTATTTCAGCCTAAGTTTTCCGGAGAGGTATGTTGAATAAAGTCCTAAAAGTCCAACATGAGTCACAGCCAACTTAGTTTTGGGACAGAGCGAGTGAGAGATGAGTTTTGATGTCAGACCAGATGTGCCGTAACCAGCTCAGTTTCAGCTTTTGGCTGCATGTGGTTCACAGGCTACTTCCTATGGTAAGTGGGGACCCTTCCCATTCCCAGGCTGGTGAGAGGCTAAATCAGGCTCTTTCACCAAAGTCACTTATAAGGTCACCTTTTATAGGGTCTCTTAACTTCATTTTAGAAACCAAATGCAGTGCAGCTTTGCTCAGTGCTGTGGGAATCCTTGCAATCTTGGAAATTTTTTTAGAAAGTTCCCGGAACAAGGGTGGAAGTGAGTGAAAGCCTTCTGCTCTCACTTTACCCAAACTGTAAACAGAATAAAGTTGCAGATTGATCCGACAGTCACTGTGTTCTTTATTTATAATTAATACATCAATTTGCAGTTTTACAGGGACCAAAAGAGCTCCTTGAGGCTACTGTATTTTTATGTTGCACGCACAGACACGTACACAATTTCATTAGTAACTTTTCATCTATAGATTTTTCTTTAAAAAAAAATCACTATGTGGCACAAAAATCTTTCCAATTATTTTAACACAGCAGCAACAAAGAAAAGCGCCAGGTGTGGAGGCTTCCAGTGCAGAATGGGATCCCTTGTTGGGAGACCCCAAAGACCATCAGTGCATTCATTTCCTGGGAGGGCAGAGGATGGCGATGGAGTGTTTTCTACAATGGAAACCAAAAATTCAAAATGAACAAGGGCAAAGAAACTAAGAAAATGGAGTAAGGCATTCTACCTATCAAAATCCTTAAGTCATTTCCCAAAAGGAAGGGAAAGAGGTTCCATTCCTACTTTTGCAGTCACAGAACTTTGTGACCATTGCAGATGATACCCTTCGAGGTCCCAGCTTTTCCTCACAATAGGTAGGGCTGAGAACTGAAGGAAATCTTGAATGCTGGTTTGCAAGCTGACTGAATTTGTATGCTGAAGGACAATGCAAGGTCCCAAATAGAAAGCAAGATCCCCAGTCAATCTAAATTATCCTGTTGTCTATCAACATCTCCTGGTCCTGCCTGGCCACCCACAACCTAAAACTTCTTGAAAATACTCTATAAATGAGCACCTTGGGCCATGGTAGGAACTATGTCATAAATGTGTCTGAAAATGGAGATCTCCTCAGAACAACACTCACTCACAAGCTATCTGTCATGAGTCTGGAATGTACCCCCCCCCCTAGCCAACTGAGGCCTCTGGACTACAGACACATAACCTACAGCCAGTAGGGCTTCAGTTCTCAGGCTAAACTTGAAAAGCACAGGTGGAAGCAGCAGTGGAGGAGGAAGCAGCAGGGAAGACACGGAAGGAAGGAAGGAAGGAAGGAAGGAAGGAAGGAAGGAAGGAAGGAAGGAAGGAAGGAAGGAAGGAAGGAAGGAAGGAAGGAAGGAAGGAAGGCTTTTTGTGTTCCTGTACCTCATTCCCCACAGACTAAGATAGGATTACAATAACTCAATGGCTGGGCGCCCACATGCAGATTATTTTTCTTAAGTTTATAGCAGTGTACAGCAGTTACAGACATTTATTTCATAATAAGAAAAGTACAACCATATTTATTAAACTTGAGGTAAGGTGGGCAGGGAAAAGAGGGAGAAGCACATTCTGGAATGATTTCTCAAACCAACACTGACATTGGTATCCCAGACCAATGGCTTGGACACTGCCCTCCCAGCTGGCAGAGCCCTTCCTTCCCTAGAAGAGCAGCAGGAGGGTGACTGCTCCACCCTACTGTTCCCTCTGTACTTCTCACATGGCATTCTGGGAAAAGGGAACTACCTCTATCACCTGTAAGTTATTTAGAGTTGACAGTTCTTTCATTAGGGAAGAAGAGCAGTAGGAGTGGCTGCTTAGTTATAAGGCAGGAAGGTGGGGCTGCAGGGCCACACAAACCCAATAGAAGGAATCCCACTCCTGCTCCAGACAATTCATAAGTTAATCATTATTTCCTAACTTAAAAACAAGGGTAAAAATATAAATGAGAACTGCATACGAGTCCTTGAAACTGGATAGAGGACCCTCGAGACATTTCTCTCTTCTTTCTCCCCTTTCAGTACAGGTAAAAGCTCCACCACTGTTATGGTCTGATTAATTCTACTAATTTGATTCACTCCTTATTCTTTTGGGTTCTAAGAGATCAGTTCTTTTTTTCAGTCTAACACATCTTGTGCTTGGTACTGAGGGTAAAGGGAAAGGAAAGGAGAGAACACCAAATAAAAAGAACAAACAACTTGGAACCAGGCTCAAGCTGACACTGAGCAAGTTCCTTCATGGTACAAGTGATGATGTTATAACTATTAAATGGCGTTTTAGTAACTGTTGCACTTCTGGCTTCCATGTGCTTATTCTGCCTTTTTTTTGGCAATTCCGGGAAGCTTTGCTTGGATCCTATTAAGAAAAGAAGAAGAAAACTGAAAATACTTGTTTTAAATATGCATTTTTTCTAGGTCTATATTTCCTCCTGGATATCAGGTCGGGCTCAGCTGTTCTCTGCCTGAACAAGCCTGACGGGTCCTACCACCCACACTGTCCCTTCAACTCATATAGAGATCCACCTGCTTCTGCCTCCCAAGTCCTGGGATTGCAGGTGTTTACCACAATGCCAGGATCTAAGCTTTATTTGTTTACTAGAAAAGACAAGGAAGAGTTGTCTTAACTTGGATACATATGAGAATAAAATAGGATTAAATAATCAAAAATTATTTGACAGCCAAAGTGTTTCCCTTGATGACTTTTTTGAAAGTTGGAGGGTAGGATACTTCAGTTCAAGGCCAGCCTGGGCTATATAACAAGACCTTGTTTCTAAAGCAAAAAACAAAACAACACCAAAAAAACGAAAAACAAAAAACAAAGCTCAATAAACAAAACTACCACAACAACTAAATCCAAAGATGATGCTTCCTTTTTTTTTTTTTTTTTTCGAGACAGGGTTTCTCTGTGGCTTTGGAGGCTGTCCTGGAACTATCTCTTGTAGACCAGGCTGGCCTTGAACTCACAGAGATCTGCCTGCCTCTGCCTCCCAAGTGCTGGGATTAAAGGCGTGCACCACCAACGCCCGGCGATGATGCTTCTTTTTTGTGGTTTGTTTGGTGTTTTGTTTTGTTTTCTGAGACAGCCCTGGCTGTCCTAGAACTTGTTCTGTAGACCAGATTGGCCTTGAACTCAGAGACCCTCCTGTCCTTTCCTCTCCAATACTGGGATTAAAGGCGTGCTACTGCCCAGCCCAAAAATGATGCTTAACAAGACGCTCAAATAAATAAAACTATCTAAGGTTTTATTCAGAGTGAAAATTAGTTACTTTTGACAGTAATATTTTATAATGGAGAGTAGAAGTTATGGGGGTAAGGGTATATAGTATACATGGGAAATGATGAGCATGGTCCCTAAGTGTACTTACTTTTCAACAATTGATTTGGTCTGATCCCGGGCAATCCCAACATAATGGTCAATCTGTGTCTTTAAGAAAGGAAGGAAGACTCAGAATCAGCTGGGCAACACAGGGGCTACAAATTTTCTTGAAGGCTCCCCCGCCTCCCCAAGACAGGGTTTTGCTGTTCTGGAACTGGCTGTGTACACTAGGGTGGCCTCAGAGATCCATCTGCCTCTGCCTCCCCAGTGCATGGAATAAAGGCATGTACTACCATGACCTGGCTGCCTTTTTTTAATTACAATATTTTTTGGTAATACTCTCTCCTGCCCCATCAAAAACTCCATTAGTCACTATTCTGGAAAATAAAAATGTCCAGATTTCAAAGAATTATAAATTTCTGTTTCCAGGTTTCAATTTATATAACACTTCAAAATAAAAATCACCCCTCATTTACAGAAGTAGGACGTATGTGGTATTTCCTTTATTAACACTGAAGTATATTTTCTGGGTACTAGAAACTGCAGATTTACTCTACATTCTGTAGTTGTTATGTGTTATGGCTCCTGGGCATGATTAACTCATTTAATATTAAAAAAGCCCCAAATCACCCTTTTCTATATAGCATCTCTTTACCTTCCTTTTTTGGAGAGAATAATTCACCCCCATGATACAGAACATCTATCCTAGGCCTCCAAATCTTGCTGGAAGACACAACTCTCAGTCTATTACTTTCCTTAAAATTACTTAGCATGTCTGCTTCCAGACAAATGCCTACCTTATACTTCTCATAGACAATTGGGATGCTGAAAACAAGCAGCTCGGCTGTAAGACAGAATCACAAAATGGCAAGTGCAAATGTGAGAAACTCAAGGAACATAGACATTTCTTCATGAGTACAAAGAAACAGAAAAACAAGAGGACAGCAGCCAGGAGAGAGCAGTTCAGGGTAGTGTTAAAAACCCAAACAGGCTGCTTTCTTTGTATGATACGCATTGACTTCTAAAATACAAAAGCGGTTTCTAAAAGCAAGGTCCCTAACCAAATCTAAACAACCTTTTACTTATAGTTACTTTGAAATTTCTGCCCCTGCCCCTCCATCCGCCCCACAAACAGGGTTTCTCTGTGTAGCCCTGACTGTCCTGGAACTCATTCTGTAAATCAGGCTGGCCTCAAACTCAGAGATCCTCCTGCCTCTGCCTCCCAGTGCTAGGATTAAAAGCATGAGCCACTACTGCCCAATTCACTTTAAAATTTCTTTGTCAGACCATCTAATATCTAACACATACTCTAGACACCATAGGCTGGCCATGTGGAATAAGTGGTTATGATGTGTGCATACTCTTTAAGCAAGCATGTACCCGTGGGTTACCTTTTTTTTTTCCTGACACAGGGTTTCTCTGTGTACCTTTGGAGCCTGTCCTGGAACTTGCTCTGTAGACCAGACTGGCCTCGAACTCACAGAGATCTGCCTGCCTCTGCCTCCCAAGTGCTGGTATTAAGGCATGTGCTGCCACTGACCAGTGCCTTTTTTTTTTTTTAACTGAGGGTCTCATATGTCCTAAGTGGGCCTAGAACTCATTATGAAGCTTAACATGATACTGACTTCTGATCCTTCTGTTTCCATGTACCAAGTGCTGGGATTTTAGGTGTGTACCATTATGCCCGGCTTCCCCAGTCCTTTATATAATTTTTATTTGAGACAGGGTTTTCTTAAGTTGCCAATACAGGTTTGATCCTTCTGCCTCAGCTTCTTGATTAGCTATGATTATAGGTCTGTACCATCTGGCCCAGAATTCACACTTGAGTCTTACAGACTACTTCATGAAACAAACACATACACACACTTTCCTTGTCACCTTACCAAGAATCAGAAGGGTGATTCCATTAAAAACAGCACCAACGTAGGTCATCAGCCACATGAAGACAGCCAGCTGTGAAGGCCAATGTCAGAGGGTTAAGCAAGAATGATGATAACTCAGAGTTCAGGCTAACTAGGTCAACATCAATGCAGTGCTGTATGACACCCTGTTCAACTTGTACTTTACAATCAGAAAACTGTCACTGTCTTGGGTGCTGAGCTGATGACTGCTGTTTTAATGCCACTCTTAAGAAGGAGGCAACAGCATTCTCTGTTGACATCTACATCCCTTTTAACAGGTTTTCTCTTGTCTGGTAAACCCTATATTCCCAGTTTTACTTTTGAATCATAGCCCAGCAACCAACCTTCAAGGAGTCAACCAGATCTTCCACCAGAAAGAGACGAATGATGAGTTTGAGGGCTCTGTTGACATGCACCATTGCAGCATTCATGTAGTTGTGGAAAGCTTCTGAAGACAGGGTGATGTCCACATCCAGGTAGGCCCTTCCAAGGAAGAAGAAATAGAACACATACGGCACATAAGGGGAAATGCTTCAACGACACAGCATTTTGTTTTTATGTTTTTTTTTTTTTTTTGAGAAAGGGTTTATCTGTGTAAAAGTTCTGGCTGTCCTGGAACTCATTCTATAGACCAAGTTGGCCTAGAACTCACTGAGATTCATCTGCCTCTGTCTCCTGAGTGCCGAGATTAAAGGCATGTGCCATTACCGCCCAGCCACAGTGTTTTGTTTTTTTAAATGAGAAACTGGCATTCTAGAAATCTGTAGGGGACACAACTATCCTTTAATGGATAAAAGCAAAAATGCCATTATCTATGAATTGCAGGGCTTTCATGTATAATGAAGGACTATCTCGAGTAGATATATCAAAACATTTTGTGGGAATGTAGATCACATAGCATAAGACTTTGCCTAGCATGCATGAGATGCTGGGTTCAATCCCCAGCATTATAAAACAAGCAAAAATCCAAAATTCATTTGTATGTGTATGTGCATGTGGAGGTCAGAGAACAACTTTGGGTGTTATTTCTCTGGCACTATCCACCAATTTTTTGTTGTTTTGTTTGTTTGTTTTATGCATAACAGCTCTGGCTGTCCTGCAACTCTCTCTGCAGACCAGGTTGACCTCGAGCTCACAGAGATCCACCCACCTCTGCCTCTCAGCTGAGATTAAAGGCATGCACCACAACCACCTGACTTTGTCCACCATTTTTAAAAAGCTCTTTTTGTTTGAGACAGTTTCTCACTGGCCTGAATTCACTAATCAGGCTAAGCTAACTGGCAAGTAAGCCCCAGGGACCTGCTATCTCCTCCTCTCCAATACAAGTGAGCACCTTCTAGCTTTCTAAAATACATTGTTTTATTTTTAATGTGTGTGTGTGTGTGTGTGTGTGTGTGTGTGTGTGTGAGACGGTTTGAATGAAAATGGCCCCCATAGGCTCATAGGGTGTGGCCTTGATGGAAGAAGTATGTCACTGGAGGTGTGTTTGTTTGGTTTCAGAAGCTCAAACCAGACCCAGTGGGTCACAATCTCTCTTCCTGTTGCCTGCTGATCCAGACACAGAACTCTCAGCAATTTCTCCAGCACCATGTCTGCCTGCCTGCCTGCTACCATGCTTCCTATCATGATGGAGTAAATGTTTTTCTTTATAAGAGTTGTCATGGTCATGGTGTCAAGACACTAAGGCAATGTGTATATTTCTGCACATGTAAAACTCTGACTAAGGCAATGTGTATGTTTCTGCACATGTAAGACACTGACTAAGGCAATGTGTATGCTTCTGCACATGTACATGTGTACCATAGCTTGTGGAAGTTGGTATTCTCCTTCTATCACGTGGGTCCTGGGGACTGAACTCAGGTTGACAAGCTGGGAAGCAAATATCTTTACCTGCTGAGCATTTCTTTGGCCAAGAAAGACCCCTAACATGTTCCAGAACACTCAGAGTTATACAGACAGACCTTGTTTCAAACAAGTACCACCAAAACAAAAACTAAAAGGAAAAAGAGGATAGGAACCATAGCTCAGTGGCAGAGTACTTACTCAGCATATGTAAGGTTCTGGACTCAATCCCCAATTTAAAAAAGAGGGGAGGGTTAGAAAGACTTAAAAGGGTAGTGATTGTGAATATGCTAGGGCTGGAAATTATACAACACACTCTGTGTTTTGTTCTTAAAGGGTAAGATTTTTTAAAAAATGAGTGTGGATGTGGGCATGGGAAGGGACTAACTACATAGGCCTGGATTGCCTAGAACTTATTATATAGATAACGCTGGCCTGAACTTAAAGTGATCTGCTTCCCAAATGCTGCAATTAAAGGTGTGTGCCACTGATCTGGCCACCTGGTTCTGAGATGTAACCCTGTACTCATTCTCCTTTTTGCTTATTAAGAAAGTACCAAAAAGTTGGTCTGTGGTGGTACATGCCTTTAATCCCAGCACTTGGGAGGCAGAGGTAGGTGGGTCTCTGTGAGTTCGAGGCTACCTACAGAGTGAGTTCTAGAACAGCCCAGGCTACACACAGAAACCCTGTCTTGAAAAACTAACCCCCCCCCCCATAGACATACTTACAATAAGAATTTAAGGGCACATAAGACTTGAGTTATCCCTTCTATTTCCTAACAGAATGTATAAGCACCAGCCCCAAGCCAGCGGGCTATTCCAGAGAGGTCACAGCAGGGGCTCTTTCTCTGAGACAAAGGATTTTTATTTTATTTATTTTTGGTTTTGTTTGTTTGGGTTTTATTTTTTATTTTATTTTATTTTTGAGACAGGGTTTCTCTACAGACCCCTGACTATTCTAGAAGTCACTTTGTAGACCAGGCTGGCCTCGAATTTGGAGATCCTGAGTACTGGGATTAAAGGTATACAGTACCACTACTAGGAGACAAAGGGTTTTATAAAGTTGTTGTTTGCTAAAGTTCAAATAAAATTTTTACAGGCAAAGAATTTCATCAGCACAAACACGAGGAAGCATTTGTTAAAGCTACAATACAGCCAGAAAGGCATTAAAATTTACCACAAGATTGGGGCTGAAGAGATAGCTCAGTGGTTAAGAGCACTGGTTGCTCTTCCAGAAGACCTGAATTCAATTCCCAGCACTCATAAGGCAGCTCATTAACTGTAACTACAGGTCTAGAATGGCCTCTTCTGGCCTGCAAGGGCACCACACACCTATATTGCACAGACATACAATGCAGGCAAAACACCCACATATATAAAAATAAAATAAAGGTTAAAAAAATTGCCCCCAGGGGCCGGAGAGATGGCTCAGCAGTTAAGAGCACTGGCTGCTCTTCCAGAAGACCAATTCCTGGAACCCACAAGGGAGTTCTCCAGTTCCAGGGGATCTGACAACTCACACAGACAAATATGCACATAAAATAAAAATAAACAAGTAAAATATTCTTTAAAAAATTGCCCCCAGACCCAGGGAAACTACACAAGAGCTAAAGTAAATCAGAAATACAATTCAGAATTAACACAGAGTAAACTCCTGGTTCCATAATTAGGAGTCCAAAGCTGTTTTTGGGCTTTACTAAATAGGGCTCAAACACCGACATAACAAGCTATTTTGTGCCCTGCTCAGGATTTGCAGCTCTCTTTAGCCTTGAAATATGAGCCTATAGCTAGTTCTTAGATACTAACCGAATCACCTCCAGGGTGAATGCAAGGTATTTAAGGGATGTTTCTGCCATCAATCAGCAGCAAGAGGTAGGTCAGAACTTCACACTTGAGCTATCTCAGCAAATCGTGGATTGTGACTTCAACTTACTTGAATGGGTGGCCTTCTTCTGACTTCTGCACAGCTTGAATGACAGACTTGTAGACCCTGAAGCTGATGGTGACGGAGAGAAGAGCCAGGATGAGGTAAGAGACCACACTGATAACACTGAAAGCTGCCAGGGACAGCAGCATGATCAGCGTGGTGCCAAAGACAAACCCGGTCTTCTTCACATCTCGCCAGAAAATCAGATCGCGTACTGCCAAAGAGAGGGAGTACAAGTTAGAGAATCCAGGACCACCCTGCCCATGCTGTACATGCTGCAGAGTGTCCACCAGCACATATACACACAATGCGCACTACAGAGATGGGAGACTAAGCATTTATTATGGATACTGGGTCCACTGGGGTAAAGTGTCATCAATCTTCAACCTTTTTTTTGGCAGAAAAGATAATAGAGGAGGTCAAGGTAGTGACTCCATGGCAGACTGCTTGTTCACCAAGTGAGGTCCTGGGTTCTATAGGGAGTAGGGGTGGTAAGGGTAGCACAGATACAAACATGAGGCAAACAAGTCAGACAATATGTGTCAGGATGTTGAGACAGGAGGATCACTTGAGCCCACAGTTCACCAGAATAGACAACATAGTAAGACCCCATCTCAATCAGTCCATTAGACAATGCTTATAAAATGGCTAGATCCCAGACCCAAAGCCAGCACTACATGAAATGTACGAGTTGGAGTAAGAGAGAAAGTGATGACACATACAGACCATCCTACTTGAAATGAAATACCAGTCCTTATCTTAATCTGAAAACAGAAGGGTTATAAGTAGGAGGCTATGTACTTACCCAAACTAGGGCCTTACGAATGCCGAGTAAAACTACTTTCCTACTGAGCTACATATTTGTGGCCCTTTGAGGTACTGTTCTTGAAATAATTTTTAATTGATACATTTGGTTGTGGTGCATATGTATGTATAGAAGCCATGAGAGGCTCCAGTATCATTTTTGAGACAAGAGGTTTTCTGTGTATCCCTGGCTGTACTGGAACACACTCTGTACACCAAATTGGCTTCACAAAAATTTGCCTGCCTTTGTCTCCTGAATGCTGGAATTTAAAGGTAAACAAGCCAGGTAGTGGTGGTGCACACCTTCAATCCCTGTGCTTGGTTGGTTCACCGTGAGTTAGAGGCCAGCCTGGTGTACAAAATGAGTTGCAGACAGCTAGGATTATTACACAGAGAAGGAATTCCTTACACGATTTGTTCTGAAGACCTAAGACATGCTTTTGGATATTTATATTACCATGTTCTTCCTTGAATGCTCTGAATGACCACATCCAGTTCTGCACCTGCACCCTCTGGTAATGCTTTTTAACCTTCCTTGGAGTCCATTTTCTAAATAAAGACATTTTCAGATAAAAAAAAAGCAAAATAATAACAAAAAACCAGGGTCTCTCACTGTTCTGAGTTTGCTAACAGGGTATGCTGAGCCCGTTTGGTGGTATCTTGTTTATACAAATAAAGCATGGCTTTGGCTTGCTCCTTCTGCCCCACATTGGGCATCAATATGTAACATGAGTTCTAATAAGTCTTAAGAATAAAAGTCAGATATAGGGGGAAATGCTGAGAGGAATCAGGGAGAAGGAGCAAACCAAAGCCACCATTACCTCACTAGCTTCCCAGTAGAAGAGAGACCGAGTTCCTGTTTCCTCATACCTACATTCCTTTCTCTGTCCAGTCATCTCACTTCCTGTCTCTCTGTACAGACCTCCAGACCTCTATGGTTAGCTAGTGGCAAGCTTCATCCTCTGATCTTCAGACAAGCTTTATTTGTACAAACAAGGTATCACCACACCCCAGGGATCCACCTGTCTCTGTCCCCAGCACTGGGATTATAAATCTGCACTACTACACCCAGCACCCTCCTCCTCTTCTTCTTACCCTAATGTGGGTTCTACGGATTAAACTCGGGCCCAGCACTTTACTGACTAAGCCATCTAGCTCTTTGGTATCCTGACACCTCTTTATTTTTGGTTTCATTATTTTGGGTTATTTTTTGTACCCTAACATTGAGCTCCTGATCTCCTAAGAGCTGGGATTTTAGGCTTGTGACCCATCTGTCCAATACTTCTTTTTTTTAATTCTTGAGACAGGGAAATTACCCAGCATGGCCTTATAAAAATGGACAAAGCTTCTAGTGCCGCACCCGCTGCACAGCCTGTGTCTGAGAATGTGCGGAGGGTGTCAGGGATTGACAACACAGAGACCAGAAGGCTCCTCAAGAAGGCTCTCCTTTATTCCTACTCTGGCTGGTTATTATATACCCTGACACCAGAGGCTGACTTGGGTGGGGTCAGAAGAGGTGGTTAGTCTTTGGAAAAGGTTGAGGTTCCCGTGGGCAAGCCCTTTTCAGGAACTTATTTCCCCGGGCATTGTATTGTTTTTAGTAACATTGTCTTACAGCTGTCTGGTCCCAGGCTGATGGGGAAGTGGATCTCTGGCCAAGGTCTGTTGTCCCCACATCTCGAGTTAGACAGATCTGAGTCTTGGAAGGAGAGGCTCTGTGATTCCTGACAGAACAGCTATAGTGGTTTTGCAAATCAGGGGAAAACAGGGTGTCACTTAGGTGCACATGACTGAACTAAGACTATACAAGAAAACTGAACAGAACCAGACCTACTAAAGAGGGCCAGTACTAAGCAGGACAATTCCTATGGTCAGAGTTCAGGCACACACACATGTCAAAATTGATATATCTGTAAGTATAGTAACAAAATGCAGAGAGGACCCATGTCACCACCAGCAGAACAAATAGATATATATTCCTGCATATGACACATCCTAGAAGGACATGATACTGCTTCTATAGAATTCCAGGCACAAATACATTACCTTGTATTTTAAGAGGAAATAACTGGAGAAATATACTCTAAAACAACTATCTATATTCTTAAAAGCTAGTATGAACCATAAACAACAGGGGGTTAGAGAGATGACTTAGAGGTTAAGAGCACTGGCTGCTTGCTCTTCCAGAAGACCCCCAAGTTCAGTTCCCAGTATTCACAGGGTAGCTCACAATTTCAGTTCCAGGGATCTGATGCCTTCTTCTGACTTCAATGGGCACCAGGCACACACATGGTACACATATATACATGCATGCAAAACACTCATATGAATAAAATTAATACATCTAAAATATTTAAAGAAATAGACTTTTCTACATTTGCACAAGCTGTAAAAGGCCACTGTGTCCTCATGGATTTTACTGCCCTCTGCTGGAAAGTTGTCAGAAAAGATAGTCAGACCTATAATGATTACACATGTGACTAGTGGCCCCTAGAGGTTTACAGAATATAAACTGCGTAACAGTACAGAAAGGCCCTTAAAATAATCAGTGGAATTAGGGTCTGGGCCAAAAAGAGGATTTACTGATGAAAGAGGGAACAGCTGGTAAAGGGCATTAATAGATTGTTCTATACATCAAACCTCACAGCTTGTTCCTTTGCTTACTTCAGGCCCCGGCCCACAGCTGCTTCCTGTCCTACTGTACACTGTGTATGCCTTTACAGCTTTGTTTCTCCTCAGAGTACCTTATGTACTTCTAACAGGCTCTTCAAACCTGTGATGGGCCCATCTTGTAACCCAGAGCCAGCACGACTACAACTTTCATTCACTTCCTGATACTGCCCCTCATACAGGAATACGTCAAGTGGGGACTTAAGCATTCTCAGCACACAACAACAACAAAAAAAGGGGGGGGGGGTGTTAGCAAGGCCTTTGGAAACTTTCACCTCTGGTAGAGTTAGAAGAAAGAAAAATACAAGAAAAAAATGTAAGAAACAGCAGCAGCTGTCAGCTCTCAAAGTTTAGTATGTGAAGCAATTAGATTGGATATTCAGTTTATGGCCAGGAAACCAGCAAGAGGCTGCAATGGTTTTGCTTCCATAAATTTATTTTGTATTTCTATCCATTTGTTCCCACTGCCAGTACAGCTTTGAAAATAGCAAATTAGTTAAATACACCTGCAATCCCAGACCTTGGGGGTGGAGGCAGGAGGGTCAGGAGTTCAAGGTTATCTTCATATCCTGAGCCAGCTGAGATTAGAGGTACACATAAATTACTATGCCAGTGGTGGCACACACCTTTAATCCCAGCACTCAGGAGGCAGAGGCAGGTGGATCTCTGTGAGTTCCAGGACAGCCAGAGCCGTAATAGAGAAACTGTGACTCAAAAAAACAAAAATAAATGAATAAATAATCTCTATATGGTGTTAACAATCGAAGCAAGGGCCGGGAGTTGGTGGCGCACGCCTTTAATCCCAGCACTTGGGAGGCAGAGGCAGGCGGATCTCTGTGAGTTCGAGGCCAGCCTGGTCTACAGAGCTAGTTCCAGGACAGCCTCCAAAACAATACAGAGAAACCCTGTCTCGTAAAAACAAAACAACAAAAAAAACCAAACCAAAACAAAAAAAAAAATCGAAGCAAGGACTTCCTGTATGCTAGACAGGCACTCTGTCAACAGAGCTACACCCCCCCCCATTCCCACCTTTTTCACTTTTTAATTTTGAGGCTGGCCTTGGGGTTTTGATCATCTTGCTGTCTCAGCTTCTTGAATAGCTGTGATTACAAGGCCTGTACCACCATGTATATCTCTTTCAAGGGATGGGAAAGAAGACAAGAGGAGCTAATGGGGGTATGAATCTGACCAAACACATTACATATATGAGTGAAATGTCACAAAGGAATTCATCATTAGCCTCTTTAGCTGGTAATGTACAAACAGACTCTGAAGTACATGAGTTTTCAAACCTTTGCCATCGATTAGCTGGGTGATTTGGGACACGATGCAGAGCTTGTGTTCTCAATGTAAGATAGGTGTGCTGCAGGACTGAATGGGTGGATGTGGAGGCCTCAGAGCACCGATGAGTAGGTGGCTAGTGGCTAATGTTAACTATTAGTAATGATTTTGCTGCCAGTCTCAGCACACTTACAATGGAAAACTAGTGAGCAAATGTTTGCTATAGAACAATAAAGATTTGTTTCCTTTTTTGTGTGTGTTGTTGCTAACAGGATTGGGGGATTGGAAAGGAACTTTTAACAAAATTTAGTTTAAAAACTTCCTTTTAGAGCCAGGCATGTTGTTAGTTCCAGCACCGGAGAGCCAGGGCTACAGAGAAACCTTGACTTGAAAAACAAACAAAACAAAAAATTTTTATTTAGAGATTTTATTATTGTTATTTCATGTGTAATCTGTGCT